AAATTAACGAAGACTTGATCCATGAAGAACTTTTATGTGACCTTTTCCTCTCCGAAAGTTGGCATTACATATAGATGGGAATTACTTTATCATTTGCTTGCAATAAAATAGAGTTAATAAGTGGTTTTACTTTGGATAAAGAAGGATATGAAAGTGAAGCAAAAGGACCTAAAACAACAAAAAAATAGCTAATCCATCCATTATAGTTTGAGTATGCTTTAACAATTCATATGCTAAAAGTTTTGAAAATGCATTCAAATTGTTAGGAAGGCATCATCCAGAAGGACCTAGTGATGTGCTCCACTTACCTGCACTAAATTAACTATAAAAAATTTGGGAAAAGATTTTTTCAGATTAAAAGGAGCAGGAAAATTTGTTATTTCGGTCAAACAATAGTCATGGATGAGAGTTAATTATATTTAAAAATTAATTTTTTTTAGTTTAGTTAAAGTATATTAATTATTTAGTAAATTAATACTTAAAAATTTATAAAAATTTATCTCATTAATTTTCTTTAAAAAATTAAATATTGATCGATATCAACACAGTAAAAAAACAACCTCAATTATCAACAAAACGAAGCTCATTGGCTACTATAGTTCATGGAAGTGGCGTGGAGGAGTAGCATTCCAAAGATACGTGCAGAATGGTCCAATAATGTATGATATCAGAAAGGCATATAGTGCCTTTCTGATGGAATGCATGGTGGAGTTTCCTATGGAGTTCATGGTGGCAAGCCAAGACAACAACAAAATGCAAGTCAAAGTGAGAAATGACACTCAACACCAACCACAAGAAGCTAATGAAGGACAAACTAATGTCACTGTTTTTTTTTTTTTATCAGTAAGCTAATGTCACTGTTAAATCGAACAGCAAATCTATTGCTGGGGACAAAATCATACAGGATGACGCCCCTCCAACAACTAGGCTTGTTGAAGAAGTTGGAGAGACTGAGGCTACAATGATCCACAAAAATGAATCACACCAGTGGCAAATCGTTACTAGGAATAGAGGAAAGAAACTAGAAAACACAAAGCCTTCAGCAGCAGAGCAACAGAGCTGTGCCCAACGCCTACTACATGATGAAATTGAAGAACAATCCTCTGGCAACTTTAAGTCTAGTACTTTGACTATGGAAAGGCCAGTCCAACAGTCTGATATGGATAACTCCATCGAAGCTGCAATCAAGAGATTATCCAATCTCCCCCTCCTCGATATCAAAAAGTAAAAAAACTTGAACCTACTCAACAGGCTGTGGGTTGCACAATTTTTCAGACTTATTTGACCAAAACAAAGTAATCGCATTAGTCAATTATTACTTTGTCTTGCCTTCTCTCAGAGCTTGCACATTGGGAGCTCACTTACCTTGTTCTTTCTCAAAATAAAACATGGCTCAAAGACACATTTACTTACCTGGATTCTCTTATCAGGTGTTTTTTTTGGACAAAAATTAAGTTTATAAAAAACTGAAATAAGAGTACAGAGTTATTCTAATTCATTGTATTATTATAGGGATAAAACTAAAATAGGTTGAGTTCAGTTAAAAAAATTTATCTTAAAAGAGATAAAAATAACATCATTTTTACCTCTTTTAAGGCAATTTTTTTTTTTTTTGACCAGCCAAAATATAGAATCAGATTATGTCAACAGATCGTTTCATTGCAAGGAGTCCTTTGTGTGGCCTTTCATGCTTTTGTTTTTTTTTTTTTTCTATAATTTTTAACTGTTTTGTCTTATATATAGTTGGTCTACCTTATTCATCCAATCGCTTAAAGTTTTTATTTTCTGAATAATAACTATCTGGATGAATAAAAAAGATAGGTCAATAAAAAAATAATTTAAATATAAAATATTATTAAAATAATATAATAATAAAATAAATTTAAAAAGTTATATT